ATTTAGCCTGGGACAGAGGGGCACGAAGACCATCCCAGGTAAGATTGCTTCATGGGGACAGAGTTTCTGTTTGGGGTATGAAAAAGTTTGGGAAATAGTGTTGATGGTTGCACATTTTGAATATAGTTAATGCCATTGAACCGTACACTTACAATGGTAAATGTTAGATTATGTATATTTTACCGTCCCAGATGGAGGAGCTGTGATGTGGTGTGTGAAGGCCTTGAGAGACCAGGCATCTAGGACACAGCCCAGGACAGGCTCCATCGATCACACGCTTTGAATGGGTCTTTGAATGGAAAAGCTGGTGTGGGAAAGAGCCGAGGTCTGTGGACAACCCACTGGGGATGTGAGGAGTGGAAAACACAGTCCATCCATGGCCTCACCTCTTACCCGTGACCATTTGGAGCTGCAGTTTCCTCATCTATCAAAAGGAATCAGTAATGATACTTAGAAGGTTCCAAACTCAAGTGAGAACCCAGAATGATAACTGTTGAAGCTGGCTGATGGGTATGTAGGGGCTCATAAAACAGTTCCCTCTACTTTGTGTGTGTGTAAACATACATAAAATTTACCATTTTAACCTTTTTTAAGTGTACAGGTCAGTGGAATCAAATACAATTACATTGTTGTGCAACCATGACTACCATCCATCTCCAGAACTTTTTCATCATCTCCAACTGGAACTCTGCCCCCATTAAACACCAACTCCCCCTCCCCCAGCCCCTGGCAACCACTATTCCACTGTGTCTCTATGAATTTGACTGCTCCAGGGACCTAATATTAAGTGGAATCACACAGGGGACTTCCCTGGCAGTCCAATGGTTAAGACTCCGAGCTTCCACTGCAGGGCGCACAGGTTTGATCCCTGGTCAGGGAACTAAGATCCTGCATGCCCCAGAGCCAAAAAAAAAAAAAAAAGTTAATTAATTAAAAGAAGTGGAATCATAAATACAGTATTTGTCCTTCCATGTCTGGCTTATTTCATGTAGCTTACTGTCCTCAAGATTTATCCATGTCATAGCATGTGCCAGAATATCTTTCCTCTTTAAGGCTGAATAATATTTCATTGTGTGTATGCACCACATTTTGTTTATCCATTAATTCACTGATGAGTATGTTTGGATTGTTTCTACCTTTTGGCTAATATGAATGACACTGCTATGAACACTGGTGTACAAATACCTTTTTGAGTCACTGCTTTCTGAGTATATACCCAGAGTGAATTGCTGGATCATATGGTAATTGTTCATTTTTTGAGGGACCACCAAACTCTTTTACATTTTTTCAGTAACAGTTTGAGATATTCATATACTATATAATTCATTCACTTTAAAGTGTACATACAGTTCAGTGACTTTTACTATATTCACAGTATTGCATAGCCATCACAATCAATTTTTCAACACTATGATCACCCTCAAAAGAAACTATACTCATTAAGTGGTCACTCTCCATGGCTCTTCCCCAAAGTCCCTGGCCAACCATGCAGCTACTACGTTCTGTCTCTATGGATTTGCCTATTCTGGACATTTCATGAGTAAGATCATACAATAAATTCGTGGCCTTTTGTGACTGGCTTCTTTCACTTGGCATGGTTTTCAAGGTTCATTCTACAGCAACAATATTCCAAATAATATTCCATTGCACCGTTATACCACATTTATCCATTCATCCATCCATTGATGGACATTTGGTTTGTTTCCACCTTTTGACTTTTATGAATAATGCTGCTATGAAAACGTGTGTACACATATCCTGAGGATACGGAGGGCTGATGACGTCATTTATATAAGGGACTTCAGCATCCTCAGATTTTGATATTCTTGGGGGTCCCGGAACCAAGCCCCTGAGGGACAGATACCCAGGGAGGACTGTTATGTGTTTTTGTGGACATGTTTTCCCATTTCTCCTGGGTAGATACCTAAGAGTGGAATTGCTAGATCATGTGGTAATTCTATGCTTCACTTTTCCAGGAAGTGCCAGGCTGTTTTCCAGAAGGGCACCCCATTTTCCACTCCCATCAGCAGTGTGTTGAGGGTCCAATTTCCCCATGTCCTTGTCAACATCTACTTGTCCCTCTCTCCTTTTTGCATGTTTTGGAAATCTCCAAAATAAAACAATTAGAAACTGTAAGTTAAAGTGTTTGTAAACTGTGAAGTGTTTACACTAATTTGTTAACAAATATTTGAGTGCCTGCCATGTGCCAAACACTAAGTATCTGTGATACATAAGAACAAAACAAACATCTCTATTCTTGGAAGTCAGGACTGGTCTTATTGGCTCTTCCTAAACCTCAATCTTTGGAGGCAAGGTCGTCAGACCCTAGCTCGGGGTCTGCGGGATAGAGAAACCAGTGGGAGCTGGCGTGCTTGAGCCCTGGTACCATCACTAGGATTCTTCCCACCTGTAGGATAAAATGGACTAAGGGGCACCTCATGAAGATGAAACAACTTCAGAGTTGGTGGAGCTGACCTACCAAATCCCCTCAGTATTCCTGGTATTGAGGACGTTTCTCAAGGGGTGGGCATGGGGCTCCCCCATCCTAAAAAAGCAGCCCCATGGCAGACCATAGCAACTGCCTTCCCATTGGCTAAGTTGCTGGACAGTCTCCAATCCAGGCCCGAGGCCAGTGGTTCACTTCAAGGCACACACACAGTTAATCAGTTTCACCCTCCAGCTTTCTCTCCTCAGGCACCCATGTGTTCCCCAAATCTCACACATCCAGGCTCTCAAGCCTGGCTCACTATGCTGGGAAGCCCCCCACTTCTTTGTTGAAGTGGGGTCAACTTTGTATCAGCTGCCACCCCCTTCAAGGAGCATCCCCCTCCCCGGCCCTGCCCACCAGCTGACCCCTCCTAGCTCTGTGCTTCTACCTCAGTTGGGGCTCCTTGGCCTTCACCGTGGCCACCTTCCCCAGTGACGCATCTCTCATCTGTGTGCAGGGCTGGTCCTTCGGTGGCATTCAATCAAAACATGTGACAAACCCGTGCTTGGTAGGAACTACTGAAAGTTCTGAGGCCCGAGAGACAGCAAGGGCACAGTAAGCTAGAGGGGGCTGGCACTTGTGGACCTGAGCCCAAGTAAGTAAGGCAACCTCACAGGACTCACAGAACAGGAGGAAAGGTCCTACCTGACCAGGCACCTGCTAAGCCCACTACCTAGTAAGCGCCGGAACAGGCTTTTAAGGTACCTTGGCCCCAATTTACAAGTAATGAGGTACAGGACATGGCCGGCTCAGTCACTTTTGAACCCCAATAGACTGCTTTCTATACCTTTACATTGCTTTTCTCATTTGCTAATCATGTACACTCATGTACCACACACCGTTAAAACTCACCCATTTTGTGTACTTTAAATCTTAATAAACATATACAGCTGTGCAGCCATCACCTCAAGTTTTGGGGCATGGAATCTTGTCCCTCTGCAGTTACGTCCCTACTAGGACTCCTGGCGCCAGGCATTGACTGTTCTTTGTTGCTAACAAAATTTCAATTTGATCTCATATCTTAGGATTTTGCTATACTTATTCTTGTACCAATTTTGTAGATTCCTTTCCTATTGTGCTCACAGCCACATAATCTGCGAATAAGGAATGTTTTCCCACCTCGCTCCACACCTTTGTTTCTGCTTTTCAGCACTCGCTACTCTCCTAGGCAGGGTGGGACCTAACCCTGGACTTGGCAGCAGCTGGCTCGAGACCCTGGCAGCCTGAGGAGCATCGCCTCCAGGTGGTGTTCATGTGTCCTTCGGCTCAACGCCTCAGCCCCCCACCCCCGGGGCTGGGCATCACGGTCTCCACGGTCCAGTCACTGGCACACGAGTTCTGGGGGTAGTACAGTTCTGAAGGACACCTATCTGCCATAAATGCTTTCCAGTAACTCGGAAAACATGCTCAGTGGGAGATCTTTTTTTAAGTGGGAGACTATTTATAGAGGCTCTCAGTTTGTTTCTCTGAAATGCTCCTTTTGATTTAAGTGGAATCCTCTATATTCCTACTAGACACGGGAAACATGGAAGAAAACTAGCCCTTTACCCTGGCCTTTCAATTCCTAATTCCTGAACAGTGTGGACACCTCAATTCTCTCCTTAGACAAATGGGAGGTAAGAACTTCCGCTGCATTGGATTACAAGGATTAAAGGCGATTACTTTACCAGGCACTTGGTACCCACTGAACACTAGGTGACAGATCTTCCGCAGTATAAAGGCTCTCAAGTCCTCTCCCTGCCCCCTATTAATCACGGTCACTCTTCACGTTGTCTTAGGCTCAGGATCCAAATCCTCTACAGAGCTGCTACCACCAACTTTCCCACAGCTTACGCCTCTCCAACCACTGCTCACAGCTATCAGCACCTTCTCTACAGCCACCTCGGCTGATGCTCAATAAGGAACCAGAGGCCCAGGAGCAGAGGCGGTTTCAGGTGGAATGGCACTCATTAAGTACGCGTGATACAGGACTTCCAGACATTCCTGAGGCCAAGGTAGTTCAGAGACAATATTTAGAGCATCAGATACGTTTCACAAATACCGTCAAAGCACAGTTTGGACATGAAAATCCTACGGGACAATGGCTATTAGGAAATTTAACACATAGTGTCAGATTCACCTGTTCTCATCTGTGTCTTTTAAGGATATATGCTCTGGGAATTCCCTGGTCGTCCAGTAGTTAAGACTCCAAGCTTCCACTGCAGGGGGTGTGGGTTCAATCCCTAGTCAAGGAACTAAGATACCACCTAAGATCCTGCATGCTGCACAGCAAAAAAACCAAAAACAAAAATCCCAAAAAAACACATCACAAGAACGTATGCTCATCCCCCACCTGCCACCTGAGAGTGCACCCTGGGAAAATCGCAGTAGTAAGACTCCGGCAGTCAACACCAATCATCTACTTCCTTGGCTCCTCGTAGGCAAGATGTACACACCTAACATTTTACATTCTGGGACCATCCCGTCATCTATACTCCCCACTCCCCAAATAAGACATTTTCACATAAGTTCTTTTTAATTTATCTGTATTTGTTACAACTTTTAAAGCAAAATGTGACTTGAGCACTACGTCTCCATTCACAAAACTTGCTCCGAGTCACTTTTCAGACAGCTTTACAACATGCCTAGATAGGCTTATAATTCTGCTACTCTCAACACTACTTTTCTGTGGAAAACAAGCCCTATATATGGACAATGACTCCCATCAAGATGGTTCAGTTGAACATACTAATTTCTAGGGGTCTGGCACATGCAATCAATACAGGCGATGGAAGGTTTAAAAAGTAAATCCCAGAAGATGAAAGTTGCTTTAAGTAGTATTTTCTTTTAAACATCAAGGTATATACTTCAGAACACTTCAGCGACAAAAGATCTGGTCTACTAAGAATCCGCTTGAGAGCTAAACACTTCGGACCATGAAGTTAACGTAGGTTACATACACCTTACAACAAACGCTACTTCCGCCTGTTAGAATAAGCCAACATGAAACTAGAAAAAAACTAGCTCTGCTTTAGCGCCTAAAGAATCACAGTATCACACTTAGTAGAAAGAAATCTTATCTTCCCCTTAAGTAGTTGTCATGCCATACAGCTTTTTAAATGTTAACAAAAATAAAGAAACCCTTGAAAACATATTATCAGAAGAAATGAAGACAAGAGTGTTGAACACGCGGCCACGTAATCCTCAGGCAGAGCTCAGTCTACTTCTTCCATGCGGGACGTGTCATCGTCTCCTTCGAGGGGCGGCATCTCCTCAGTTACAGCAGCACTGCTGTCATCAGCAGTGGGGTCATCTTCATCAATACCTTTTTGGAAATAAACACCATGGATTAGATTTCCTAAAGCCACCTAACTATCCCAACACTGCCAGTTCATACCCACTTTCCAAGGCCGTGCAATTAATTTACAGGGTGTATGACCCTGTTTCATTCTTTATCCTGTACAATCAAAAGGCCTATTTTACACCCGTTTAACTCACGTGACTTAGGGTTTCCCAAACTGAATGGGACAGCCCAACTTTGTTCAAATTGCTGAAAGTTATGTTACCCTTTTCAACAGTCGCGTGTTTAAGCTTTTGCCTCAATAGTACTGACACGGGGTATTTGCACAAGGCTTACCAAGACCAAGTTTGATCATCCTATAGATCCTGTTAGCATGTGTCTGGGGATCCTCCAGACTGAAGCCAGAAGACAGGAGAGCCGTTTCGTACAGCAGGATGACCAGATCCTTCACAGACTTGTCATTCTTGTCAGCCTCTGCCTTTTGCCTCAAGGTCTCAATGATGGAATGGTCAGGGTTTATCTCCAGGTGCTTCTTCGCTGCCATGTAACCCATTGTTGAGTTGTCTCTCAGCGCCTGAGCCTTCATGATCCTTTCCATGTTTGCTGTCCAGCCATATGTGCTTGTGACAATGCAGCACGGGGATGTCACCAATCGGTTAGACACGACCACCTACAATCAAAACACAGTGATAACTAGGCCTAAGAAGATTTCATATTCTAACTTGTAAATACTTGTTATCAGCTTTATTACGAACATTTAAGGAACTTCAGTATTGACGAATCAAAAATACTACTTGCAAACTCAGATACCTGACCCTTTCTTCCTGTGAGTTCTCTTACACTTGAAGTCTTTAAGGATCTTGAGATCTATATCCATCACTAAATGGAAATGCTAAAGTTTTCTATTAGTAAGTTAAGAAAACTTCAGTTTGAAAGACACCTGACACTCCTTTTAAATGTAGGTGAGAAGACTATTCACACACCTTTTCAACTTTCTTCTCCAAGATGTCCTTCATGATTTTGCAGAGGTTTTCAAACTTTGTCTTTTTTTCTTCCTGTTTCTTTTTCTCTTCTTCGTCCTCTGGAAGTTCCAGGCCCTCTTTGGTGACTGACACTAAGGTCTTCCCCTCAAACTCCTTCAGCTGTTGCACACAATACTCATCAATAGGCTCGATCATGTAGATCACTTCCAAGCCATGCTTCCGAAGACGTTCCACAAAGGCAGAGTTAGCTACCTGGTCCTTAGTCTCACCTGATATATGAAAAAGTTTCAGATCCTTAACAGGAAGCAGTTTCATTTCCTTTTCTTTTTTCCTATGTAGTTTGATCTAACCACAGACAAGGGCTAGCTCACACTATGTTGCCTATAGTAGCCCCTACTAATTTACACGTACCACCACATGGGTAGAAAACACACCCAACTGCTCCTATGGAATCACAAGCACAAAGATATGACTAACATTTACTGCCCATTACCTGTGATGTAATAGATGTGTTTCTGGTTTTCCTTCATTCTTGTGCAGTAGTCCTTGAGGGAAACCATCTCATCACCAGAAGCAGAAGTGTAGTACCTCAACAGCTCTGAGAGTTTCTTTCGATTTTGAGAATCTTCATGTATTCCAAGCTGAAAAATAGGTGAGCTAATTAGAAAGACTTTCTCTGCATTAAAAAATCATTTAAAACGAGAAGCCAGGGCTTCCCTGGTGGCGCAGTGCTTGAGAGTCCGCCTGCCGATGCAGGAGACGCGGGTTCGTGCCCCGTTTCGGGAAGATCCCACATGCCGCGGAGCGGCTGGGCCCGTGAGCCATGGCCACTGAGCCTGCGCGTCCGGAGCCTGTGCTCCGCAAATGGGAGAGGCCACGACAGTGAGAGGCCCGCATAACGAAAAAAAAAAAAAAAAAAAACGAGAAGCCAGTTTGACTACCAGTCCTAATGGTCAAGTGTGCTTACAACTAACCTTAATGTTTTTAGAGAACTGCTCATAAAACTTCTTGTAGTTCTCTTTATCTTCTGCCAGTTCAGTGAAGAGTTCTAAGCATTTTTTGACCAAATTCTTCCTAATAACTTTCAGAATTTTGCTTTGTTGCAACATCTCACGAGAAATGTTTAAAGGGAGATCCTCTGAGTCCACCACGCCTCTGATGAAGTCTGAAAAAAACAGACCAAATGCGCTCAAGGTCACTCCAAGGTCACAAAATCGACCAAAACGTAAACCCAAAAACCCACAGACGAACGATTTTTCCCCCTTTAAAAATCGGGAGTTGATAGGCTGAACTCTGACCCGTGACGGCGACCGCTCTTTACACCCAACCGCACTTACTCAGATACTCAGGGATCAGCTCCTCGCAGTTGTCCATGATGAAAACTCTGCGAACATACAACTTAATGTTGTTCTTTTTCTTTCTGTTTTCGAACAGGTCAAAGGGAGCACGTCTTGGGACAAAAAGAAGGGCTCTGAATTCCAACTGTCCTTCAACTGAAAAATGCTGTAATAAAACACAGCCAAGATCAAGACAGTGCAATCAACTTTCACCAACAGGTACCTCTTAAACCCCAGAGCCAAACACTTGCAGTTACGTAACTTCAAGACTTCGGGAGAAGGCTGGGGCAGTGGGCAAGAGAAAGCTGACGGAAACCACCCTCAAATTTAACAGTGTGAGGCAGACCGCCTGCAGAGACACTGGCTTTGAAGCTCTCAGCACTCACCTTCACTGCCAAGTGATCTTCCCAGTCATTGGTCAAGCTCTTGTAGAACTCTCCGTACTCTTCATTGCTAATGTCGTCAGGGTTTCTGGTCCAAATCGGCTTTGTTTTGTTCAGTTCCTCTTGGTCAATGTATTTCTCCTTGATCTTCCTCCTCTTCTTGTCGCCGCCCTTCTTTTCTTCTTCCTCGTCGTCGGAGCCGACGTCCTCTATCTCAGGCTTGTCCTCAGACTCCTTTTCTTCTTTTTCCTTTTCTTCTTCTTTGTCTTCCTTTTCTTCTGCCTCATCATCACTGACTTCTTTATCACGTTCCTTCTCCACCTTCAAAAGACGTAAGTAAATCACGTCATCTCTCCATCCCAGAGCTAAAAAAAATAAGCTAAACAGCACTGAGGCACTTACACCCAAAACCAACTGAAAGCAGTAAGTGCCCAGAAAGCTACTCATCAGTTTCTGATGTATCTCGGTAGCCCTGGGTGCCTGGACAGAGTAAGACAGAGCTCCCCCCACCAGCCCAGTAAATACTGCAAATCCAGAACTCTTCTTTTGTCAAGGACTCTACGAACTGAAGATTTCAATTCAGTCGCTTTGGTTACCTACGGGAAAAATGTACAGAAACTCACAAAGAGAGTGATGGGGTAGCCAATAAACTGCGAGTGCTTCTTCACAATCTCTTTTATTCTCCGCTCCTCTAAGTACTCGGTCTGGTCTTCTTTAAGGTGCAGAATAACTTTTGTTCCACGACCCATAGGTTCTCCTAAAAAGGAGAAACGAGCTCAATTTCAATCTCAATTGCCTAATCAAGGTTAACGAACATATAGCATCAGTTTAGCTCTCCTAGCAGTCATTTCAACGTCTATGAAATAGGGGTTTACCCTTACTGCTAACGGAAAGACTCCCAGAGCAGTTAACGGCCAAGATAAACAACCGCAAGAACAGGCTATCCCACTTAAGGAAAACACAGGTTGGTTGGTTTGTTTGTTTTTTTAGACACAAACTTCACAGCACCTTCAGGGGTCCACTGCCTACAGCACCCCACCCTCCACAAATGACTGACCCAGTAAGGTGTCTACCGGATGCCCACCTGTATCAGTCCTCACTGTGAAAGATCCTCCTGCGGAAGACTCCCAGGCATACTGCTCATCATCGTTATGTTTGGTGATAACGGTCACTTTCTCGGCCACCAAATAGGCCGAATAAAACCCGACACCAAACTGGCCAATCATAGAAATATCTGCACCAGCCTGCAAAGCCTCCATGAACGCCTTGGTCCCAGACTTGGCAATGGTACCAAGATTGTTGATCAAATCGGCCTTGGTCATTCCAATCCCGGTGTCCACAATAGTAAGCGTCCGATCTTGCTTGTTCGGAATGAGGTTAATATGCAGCTCTTTCCCAGAATCTAGTTTACTGGGATCTGTCAAGCTCTCATACCTGATCTTGTCCAGAGCCTATTAAAAAAACACAGAAGATTACGCACAAAGACCCTAAACGGTGAATTTTATACCGAAACTAAATCCAAATTCTACATTGAAAGACTTACATCGGACGAATTTGAAATAAGCTCCCTCAAAAAGATCTCTTTATTCGAGTAGAATGTGTTGATGATCAGCGACATCAACTGGGCAATTTCCGCCTGGAAGGCGAACGTCTCCACCTCCTCCTCCTCCATCGGCTGGTCTTGGGTCTGGGTTTCCTCGGGCATCTGGAGAGGACAAGAAGCCAGTGAGGCCGCCGGACGGGGTCCCGCCACGTCCCGCGCCCGCTTCGGAGGCTGGGGCGCGCACGAGGCGCCGGCTGACAAAGGGATGACCTCATTCCGGGGCCCCAGAGCCGCCGCAGCCCACGCCGGCCGTACGGACGCCGCTCCCGCGCGACTCCGCCATGACACCCCCACCCAGCGCCGGCCGGGAACGGGGCCCGGGGACTCCTCCCAAGGCGCAGAACCCAGGCCCCCGCGGCCCCGGCCCCCGCGGCCCCCGCCCCCTCAGAGCCCCAAGGCCCGCCCGCTCCCGCAGGGGGGAGGGGAGGAAAGGCCGCAGCAGGCCCGAGGCCTGTGAGACGCCCCGGCCGCGCCGGCACCGCCTGCCAAGGGGCCCCGGCGGAGGGGGGTGCACCCGCCGCCGTCTCCCGCCCGGCCCCGGATCCCCG